CTCTCTCTCTCTCCCTCTGACGCGGGGGGCTTGCCCTCTAAATAAACTTTGGAGCTCATAGTCGGAGAAAGAGAGACAGAGACACAGCAGTCATCAGCCGGCCGGCAGGAGGGGAGTGAATGGGTCCTGCACGCAAAGCAGAAAAGCGCTGAAACTGCGGAGATTTACTTTGGTTCAGTTGCCTGCCGCCGACAGAGAGAGGAGGTGTGTGTTTGACAGCCTAAAGAACTGCGAAACCTTCAACTTACAGATCCTTACAGAGTTGGTCCCTGTGCTGGCTTTTACTTTTTGTGCTTTAGCTGATGCTGAGATGAAGCCGAGACCCTCAGGGCGCCTGGCAAGTTAAGGTATCCACCGGGACGCACGGCGCATCTCCACTTAGAGAGACTAGGAGAGGGGAGAGAGAGGGGAGAGAGAGGTCAATTTGGAGTTCCACACATGGATATTATATCTCAAACTTTTTGAGAATCACGTTAGCCATAAATAATAATTCTGTTCATCTTTTTGACCTACACTAATGGTCGCACCGGATGAGAGTCGACTTTTTTGGCGTGTTTGTTTGTTTTTTGATTTTTGGAGGGAATGTTCTTCATCACAGCACGGATAACGGATCCCTGACTCAGTCTGGCTTTCTTGGCACATATGAAGATCCTATCCAGGATGTTACAGTCTAAGCGGCCCAGGCATCATTGGGCCACCGTACACTACCATCACCACATATCACCACATAGCTGGGGGTCCTGCTGTGTCTAGGAATTATCTACCCTCCTCACTCTGCCTCTGTCTGGGGGAAAAAAACGGAATCTTATCCAATAAGTGATTTGGTGAACATTGACATTGGCTTTACGAGTCTCATCTCTGGGCTACTATGCAATTACAACTGATCTCCTTTGTTTGGATCATCTTGCACTGCATGGATTACACTGGTTGTCAGCAGCACAGCAGCTCCAGGCACCGGCCACATAAACGTGAGTAGGTTCAAGTGCGGTACGATGCTGCTGCCCGGTGTTTGGTGCTCGGTCTTTATGTTTTTTATGTTTTTTATGATTATCATTATTATTTTTAATTCAGCATTTCTTCTTTTCTTTTTTTTTTTACTAAGACATGGGTCAAGTCACAAAAATCTCCAACTTCATGTGATTTTTTACATATTTTATAAGTTTACATCTTTTGCCAAAAAAATAAATTAAAAAACTGAGGATCCAGTATTCAGGCTATTTAAAATCTAATTTAAGTGACTGGCAAATTGTTATTTGGTCAGTGAAGTAGGCCTAAATTATAAGATAACAATCCTCCACAGGCGCACCTCTGGGAGCGCTGGGCGACGTTCTATTGATGTGAGTTTTTCTAGATACGACTAAATAAATTGCAGTTAATCTTTGCTATTGTTTTCTCTCTTCCATTATACAATTTAAATCTACATGAAAACTTCACTTTTGGCAGATATATGATAGTGATTGTACTGATTTATTATTAAAGCTAGGCCTAATCCATTTAATTAACATATTATCACCAATTTCCTCACTCTCAACCCCACTTTTCTGCATTATGAGGTTCATGCACTCCAACTGTTTAACTTACTAAACTGATGTAATAAAATGGGGAGTTATTTCGGCATGCTGATTGTATGGTCCCAAGATTCCTTCAGTAATTTCCCCATGTGTTTGTCCACTTTTAATATGTCTCCTTTTAACCTTAATTGGATTAATTAATTAATTGTTCTGCCTGTCACCTGAAGCCCGGAGTGGCTGCTCTTTGCACTCAGTCTCCTGGTTCCCGTCGCTCTCTAGCGGTCAGAGCAGCAGACTTCAGGCACGGAGCGCGCTGCCCGGGTATCACGGCTGATCACTGTTATATTCACAGCTTTAGTTCCCATATTTGGTGAAGAAACCTCCGTGTTCAGTTTATTTCCTTACACTGCCACGTTTTGGAATTTATGGGGAAAGGTTTCTTCTGATGTTGGCCCAGATCACACAGAATGGGCTTCACATTTATTCAACTCAGATTCAACTCAGTATCATAATTTGAAATCATATCCCATCTTGTTCTTATTACTGTTCAAAGTCTGACTTCATGTAAATTTGACAGTAGGCTCCATCAAAACACCAGAGATGTTCCACACTGAAAAACTTAAGTCTGATGGTATTTCATCTCCCATATATCTTGTCCCTGGGGTCCAACATTATGTCTCATTGAGTTATGATCAGTCTTTTTACATAAAACCATGAAATAAGTATCAATACAGTATATTTTTATATTCTTCCTACGCGCACTTTATCACTGAAGGTCTCCAGATGTGCTCTGTGACTAAGTCTGTTAGAGAAGTGATAACTGGAATATTCCATGTATCACTTTCCAGTGTGGCCGAAAACTGTCTGATCTACAATAATAGACTTTCGAAGTGATGTTTTTATCCCTGCCACCTGGGGCTGAAACTTCTCTCTCTCTCTCTCAGACCTGTAGTCTGGACCCAAAAGAGGACCATTTTTGTTTGTTGTTAATTTTTTCCTCATGACCACCAAAGTGGAAATTTAAAAAAGAAAAAGCAGAGGGTTGGAGCATCTGGGGTTAACGATGTGTTTATTACATAGTTTTAAAGGGGTCCTGGGGTTACCTTTGCTCTTGGCAGCTCTGTTCAATGTAGTTTAGATCAGACCGTAAGAACTAAGCGTGGATCGTTTTGCTGTTCAGCAGGGTGACACAGCCTTCATAGATCTTATTCAAACTGCAGAAAACTGACATATAATGACCCCAGACATCAGTCGTGATGATAAAAGACAACGCAATGTACCTATTGTATGTAATAGGCTGATTAGTCCCACTTAAATTACTTTCTTGTGCAGCACTTATGTGGGATATATACTGTAGATCTTGTAGGTGCTGCTTTGTCCCCTACACTGCAAGAAACACAGATTCTCTCTTTTAAATGTTTATTTCCCCCTAAACACCATTAAAGAGCCTCTCAACACAGTTTGAGAGAGGGAGTGGGCGCAGGGGAATCTACTAAGAGTACTCCAGTTTCTTATATTAAGCCCTGAGAAACTGTGATTTTAGTAAGAATTTGAATTTTTAATATTAGTATAATTTGGTTTTGGTTCAAGATGTGATGCTGAAAATTTGTATGTTTATATGCTATACAAAACCATTATATTAAAAAGCATATCCACATACGCAACTCTATTGTAATTCAGTTTTGGGATGGCAATGTTGAAGCTGAAAGTTTAGTTTATGTTCTACAGTGAGCAGTAAACAAAGCCTTTCTCGACTGGCTCAGTACCCATTAATTGACAAGTGCTTCTAAGAATCCAAACTTCCTCCAAGGATGCAGACACTTCCAGAGATATCAGGGAGGATGGAGGGATTAGTTGGTGAAGGGGTGAATGAGTACAGACTTCAGAGAGAGAAGGGGGTAAGAGTGAGTTTGGAGTCAATGACCATTGAGTCAACTGGCCAAAATTACCACACAGAGACTGAACCCAAGCTCAGAGCTTCCTGTCTGTGGTCTGTGATGATGCATCCAAAAATGAAGGCATGTGGCGGCCTTCATCGTGGTAATTATATATATTTTAGAATTTATCAAGAAAAGTCCGCTCAATGAAGATGGGTTGATTTACATCTTGCTTTAAAGCTAAACATAGGATACAGATTATTAAAGGGAAACCAAGTATGACACATGATGGAACATGTGCAGAGGTAGACAATACCTTTAATACTTAAAGCTGCAGTAGGTAATGTTTATAAAATTAACTTTTTGTCATATTTGTAGTACATGAGACACATAATCTGTGAAAATCCGGTTCCTCTGGCTCCTACTACTGCTCCTAATGGTATTTACAAGAATCCACCACACCTGAATAAAACCAACCAATCAGAGCCAAGAATGATAGAATGCTGCTTTGGGTTGGTGGCTGGTTTCATTCCCAGCATTGGTATTTGATGACCTGGGAATGCGGCTTAACAATCAATCAGTTGTTCTTGGTTCTGATGGTTGGTTTTCATTCAGAAGGCACAGACAGATTAGCCATTAGCACCAGGAGGAGCCAAAGGAACCTGATTTTTGTCACCGATTATCTGTCTCATGTACTATTGTCAGGCCACAGTGAAAGTTTCAACTAATATGACAAAATTTTATTTTTATAAAAGCTACCTACTGCAGCTTTAAGGCAAAACGTTACGTCTGTGTTGTTTCTCCGTGAACCATCTGTGTTTGTGTGTGCACTCATGTGAATGTGTTTATTCATATGTGACTTTGTTGGTATGTTATGCAAGATACCACTGTCCAACTGAGGTTTTGTCGGTGCAAGTGCGAGGGCAAGGCCAGATTCCTGCGTCTTAAGACTTCTGTGAAACAGGGCAGCTTGGCAGGAACACATGTGGGCAAATGGACAGCAGTTGTAAAGATTGTCGAGATATTTCAAACAAAGCATCCTTGATCTATCTGTGGCAAACTGGCAGCTAAACCCTGAAGTTAGAGAAGAAGGAAGAGGGCCAGCTTAAACCAGTGGCATGAGATTGCAAGGCTGGAGAGGAAAAACAATTGCTTTGGCGTTTACAGGGGTTGCTTTCAATTTGCCTACTATGTGTGAATACTGCAACATTATCCAACCATTGCCTTGGGATGGAGTATCAATGCAGTATGGGTGCACAAGTGCGTAAAACATGGAACTTCTCTCATGCTTATGGCCTACGTATTGACTCTGTGTTACTGATGTCACTCCTGTTTGGATAAGCAGACGAATTCCCAAAAGAGCGGTATCACTTTCTTGATTTAACTAAAGCAAGATATTTGTAACACAGGAGTAAGTTAAACTCATTTCCTTATAAAAATGTTTTACTGTTACTAAAATGTTGGGACCAGAAGCTAAAAATATGCAATACCATGGAACCTGACAAGTGTATCTGGTGGTTTTCTTTTACAGCATATACAGTATACATCCTCATACAACCACCCAAACCGTCTTTGTTACTAAGTGCAATCAGATACTGAACAGGATGATGATTTTCCAGGAAACTGACAGCAATAAAGTTCTTTAAGACTTTAAGCTGGGAATGGTTATAATTTTATTGGGTTTTTTGATATTTCCACAATATGCTACTAGCACTGCATATACCTGTATACCATAATTCATCATGAGCTTAAGCACACTATCATTTTGAAATACACATGCTGTAATTTGGGAGACATTAAAATGACTGTGACAAGGTTGTCACCATACAATTAAAATGATTAAAACCTACAACCACAGCTTTTATCCATGGCAGACAAAGTCTGATGAATTATCCTGCAAATTAGTGAAGAGTGGGGGATGATAAAAAACAACTGTAAAATATATTAATAAAAATATATTAATATAAACTAAACACTACAGTACTTATGAACATCAGCTGGGTTGTAAACATAGTATAAATAGCTTTCATATGCACTGTGCTATCAATCACTGCGCTGAGAGAGTAGGTGATAAGTCATACTGTAATTAAACACTTATGCATGTGGAATAATAATCCTTCATGATACAGTAGATCTTCCTGTTTCTCCTTTGCCCTCATTCTTGAAAAACATGACACAACAACACTTGACTGAAATATTTCAATACAGAAAATAATGTTAAGAAAAAAAAATGCACCTATGACGGTCCCATATGCCTTTTGTTTTTTTTTTGTCCTCTGTTACTGAAACTGGTTGTGCAACATAAACCTACAGAATGGTTTACCACCTGGCAGAGTGACAGCAAGATGCAACCTACACTAACGTCATAATTAACATTGTTGGTCCACCATGAAACATGAAAGAATTCTTTCCAGATCCAAATTTTCCAATTTTCCAAAATCCAGCATTGCATCAAGAGCTAGGTACTACCTTTGAAATACTGATGCTGGTATTTTAGAGGACAGGACAATCTGACCTGACATCTTCACTGAAAATACATTATTTAAAACGTATACACCCTCATATTCTGGGTTAAATTTTCTACCTTACATTATCTATTTTACCTGTCTTGTTTCTGTCTTGTGTAGGGCCCTATAACAACAATTGTTTACAAAAAATAAACTATTCTATTATACTCTGCACAAATGATAGTCACATTATATGGTACACGTAGGCAACGTTAAGGTCAGGTTTTTATTTATGGTGTCTTATTGTCTATGATTTAAAATTGGCTTCTTGGGACTGTATTTGGGCCCCTGGCTGAAAGAAAATATGAGGACACTGAAATGGTTTAGTGCTATATTAGTTACACTTTTACCAAAAGGCTGCCAGAAGGTTACTGTGTCCATCTTTGGCACCAACAGAGGTGAATTCCTGCCTCCTGGGAGGATGGTATGTCTACAAATACTTCCAAAGTGTCCGGCACTGTACTGGGGCACTTATCAAATGTTGTGATCTCAAGTTATCCATTAAGATAAATTCCACTTCAATCTTGAGATTTTAGTTTTCCTATTATACAACATGAAATCCATGTTTAAACATCCCCCTGTTCCTGTCAACAGAGATCTCTGGTGTGAGCTCAGGGTGCCAGCAGGGTGGCTGTCTGACCTGCTCTGACTACAATGGCTGCCTGTCCTGCAAGCCGCGCTTGTTCATGCATTTGGAGAGGATTGGGATGAAGCAGATCGGGGTGTGCATGACTTCCTGTCCTCTGGGCTTTTATGGCACGCGCTCCCCAGAAAGAAACATCTGCACAAGTAAGGCATAACAACATAAACTGTATGGTATGGTTGTATGGAAGAATAATAACAGAATATTGATGAAAATATCCCTTGCATTGCATGTTCCCAATTGAAATGAACAGAAATCTAAAGGATTGGTAGTAGCCAGACTTTTGGGTAATTATTTGTCCTCTGAATGGATGGGCGTAAGATTAAGTATACAGTATCCTTCTCTTATAACAAACACACACAGAAAAGTATCTCAGACTTGTCTTGAGTTAAATGTGGCCTCTTAACAGTGTGTTTATACGTGACAAGCATAAGCACAAGAAGTATAATCGGCTCCAAGTCAAAATATATGTCCTCCCTCCATATACACTTCTTTACAAGCAACAGTTTCAAGACCTGCTTGTGAAATATAGCATTATGTATACATACAGTATGTCCTCCAACAACTGCAAAACCTGATACCTGTTAAGTAGGTTTCCTTTTGGTGACATTAAATTAAATCAAGTGTTGCTTTACTTAAAATCATATATCATAAGTCACCCTGTAAGACATCAATCTGACTGCAGTGGCCTATATTCCTGACTGTATTCCCAGTGGGGCATGCACACACACACTGACACCCTGTATATTTAACAGGCAGGACACACTCGATAACTTGTATGGTTTAAATAAACGCTGGCGGTGGGTCTGTGTTTCTCTGTCAGAGTGCAGGTCGGAGTGTGACTCCTGCTTCAACAAGAACTTTTGCACACGCTGCCGAGCAGGATTCTACCTTCACCTGGGCAAGTGCCAGGAGAACTGCCCTGAAGGACTGGTCCACAGCGACACACAGAGGGAGTGTGTTCTTAGTGAGTAACTCTATTTACCTTGAATTATTCCACATTAGCCATGTAGAGTTTACCAAATAATTCTGACTTTGGAATGAAGCTGTCATGTGTTAAATGGGTTCACTATATTCACAGATACATAACTTTTGTCTTTGCAGAGTGCCCTGCAGAGTGTGAGTCGTGTGAGAACAGTGAGACATGTACGCGGTGCCGGCCAGGCCTGTACCAACTCAGTGGGAGATGCCACGAAGTCTGTCCAGAGGACTACGAGCCCAGTGACAACCTCATGGAGTGCACAGAAAAAGGTCAGTCCAGTGTGTGTGGATGTGTGTGGATGTGTCAGAAAAAAAAGCCTAAGACAGCCTAAGATAAGATAAGATAAGATAAGATAAGATAAGATAAGATAAGATAGGAGATATATACCTTACTAAGATACCTATCCTGTTAGTTGGTGTCCATGCAACATTTGGGCCCTTGATGTAGAGCGGTAAATAAGATTTAAGAAAAGATAGTAACCACATTTTAACTTGTTAACATAAAATGACATAACACTGAGGTTTCTCATCTTCACTTCTCTTTTCTCAATTTTTCCCCTGTCAGTGCACTGCATAGTGGGTGAGTGGAGTGAGTGGAGCCCATGCCCTCGGCCTGCTAGAACCTGCGGGTTCAAGCGGGGCCAGGAGACCCGCACACGACAGATTCTCCAGCAACCATCAACCCATGGCAACCCCTGCCCAGATATCTCAGAGATCAAAAAGTGCCCGGTCAAGCGGAAGAAATGTCAAGGTAAAGGAAACAATACCGTAGCAAAGTTGCAGAGTGAATGTGTTCCAGCTATGTGTCAAACCCTGACACCAGATCCTTGTGATCCAGCATTTGAGCTTTAACTACCAAAATAAATGGCACACAGAATGTGCCCACAAAAATGGGCACAATCTAGACATTGTCTCTAGTAGTTGCTGTTGACAGACACTCACTGCCAGCATTGGATTTGTGACACACGGCATGATTTCTACTCTCTATGAATTCCAGACCTTGCTGCTTCAGCTTGTACAATCAGAGCTAGACGTTCTTCCGCTCAGGACTACGACTGTTTACTCAGAGGATTGTCATTGTGGTTAGAGTGAGGACAGTGGTGGAAACACACATGTGTGATGTTGCAATGGGTATGTTGTGTGTTTTCCCATGAGACTTCTTTGGATTTTTAAACAGTAAAACCGCTTTCTCTGCTCCTAGTAAACAGGGAATAGCGTGATCATTTCTAATGAAGAGAGTGAAAACTGCTTTCAGACGGGGCTCGTCTCTTTACAAAACCCAATGTTGTGGTGCATTTAAGACCGCTTCGTGTTGTGTGTGTACTGCATGTGTGTGGTTACTGAGCTGGTTGGCAGCTACGGCTGGTTGTTTTTTACCCTGGGCTCTGCAGTGTTAAATGACAGATCGCAGACAGGGTAGGAGGCTGAGATCCAGCTCCCTGGGGCCTCACACTTACAGAACAAACAGTGTGTGTATGTGCGTGTTTCTGTGCATGTGTGTGTGTGATGCAGCAGAAAAGCAGTTGACTCTGGAGCAGAAACAGCCAGCTCAACATCAACATCCTCCCCCTGGGAGGCACGCGGCGACCAGGGGATCAGTATTGGTTTATCCCCACAGCTGCCAATACACACACATACATGCAAACCAACACATGCACACACCCTCTCCATTTCAAGTCAGACAAATGCACACTTGGGCACATCGAACACACGCACATGCACGTAGATACACACACATGCTGTCTTTGTCTTACTAAAATAACTGCACAGACGTTGCTCTTGGTGGTAATTTGTGAAGAGAGTCAACTGGGTCGACGTGATTTGTAAGGCAGACTGTGAAATGTGCCCTCTGTCAACCCCTCTCTCTCTCTCACACTTTCAATCTGTATCTCTCTACTGATCCATTCCCCTATCCTCATCCTCTCAACACACACTCCCTACCACACCAAAGAAAACATAGACCCCCATATAAGCTCCCTGTTGGCGCTCCCAGGCAGTCGTGCCGGGGCCGAGACTTTAGTGTGGAGTCAACGGCTCTGTTGATCTAGCCTGAGCCTGGTGAAAGGGGGGGGACAGGGAGCAGGGAGGTGAATTGAAAGAAAGAAAGAAAGA